CATTCTTACAATAGCATAGCCTGATATATGGCAGTTAGTCATTGTGTTATTTTGACAAAGATCTATAAATCACGAAAGCATTTTCTGTTCTTCACATCTAGTTTTTAGCTCAAACAATGCATTTTGCCACAGATTCTAATGTTAAGACTTTATCTCACTGTTTCATGAATTATAATATGACCATGGTTTTGTGGTTAGCAGGGATCGTGATTATGATAGAGACTATGATATGGATCGAAATTATGACAAAGACTATGAAAGAGAACGTGGGCGTGGGCGAGACCGGGATAGAGAGAGAGACAGAGATCACTATGTGGAGCGAGATAGGGATAGGGACAGGGAACGAGGGAGAGACAGAGAACGAGACAGAAGAGACAGGGCAAGGCGTAGAAGTAGAAGCAGGAGTAGGGATCGTAAGAGACACGAAACTGATGATGTCAGGGATCGTGATGAACCAAAGAAAAAGAAGGAGAAGAAGGAGAAGTTGAGGGAAGATGGAACTAATCATCCAGATCCTGAGATTGCGGAAGCTAATAGACTGAGAGCATCACTGGGATTGAAACCTTTGAATGTTTGAAGTAAGCAGCAGCAGGAGGAAATTCATGAACTGTGAAATGGGGACATGCTGTTAAACCGAGACTTGGTTCATTATAGTCCAGCTACTACACTCTGTGATCTTACTCACTTTAGTTTTGGTTTTCGAGTTATCTGATCCCTTTTAATGGCATTGTTGAACTGTATGTCTTTTAACCGATACGAATAGTGCTCAAGAATTCAGATTGTAAACCGGTACAAGTTCCAGCTCAATTTTAGAAAAGTCCGTAAAAAGACAAGCTTACGTGGCAAAATCACACTCCAAAAGTAATGGAATGATAAGGTTTTCATAATCATTAACCATCATAACGATTAACGACGCGCGTGCTTCTTATGTCCCACCGACGTCGTTTTAGATGTACTCTCTGTGTTCTTTACCTTCTCAGCTTCCTCCGTCTCAAATCAATCCATCGCCTTTCCGGCGGAAAAACATAAATGTCCGTTAATGACAGTATCGATCCTCGGTTCCTATACCATGTGGAAGATGAATCTTTGCGTTTCCGTGTCGGAGAGTCCGCTCCCAGAAGCCGGGAGCTCGAAACTATCAGCGATCGCCGATTCAGGATGCGGCAAGGTTTCTGCGCAAATAGACCTGAGAAGTATGAAACGAGTTATTCCGATGGAGATGATAACGATGAAAACGTTTCTGTCCGAAGACATGGCGCCTTGACTCAACCTGATATTGATTCTGGTAATAATGCAGTTGCACAAACCAACAGGGAAAGTAAAAATCCAGGTATATCTATACTGTACATTAGTTTATCGTCTTACGATGTTCTTTCTCCTATGACTATCAAAAGGCCACCAATGTCGAAGCTCTTACAATGTTTTAGGTTCAGTTGGTTGGGAACTGGTTGTGAGAGATGATGAGGAAAGGAAATCATCGATTGATCGACATGAAATGGAGTTTAAGGTGATGATCGCTAACCCAGATGATAACACGCAGTCAAAACGAGATTTTGCTTCTGTGGACAAGGAGAGAGTCACAAGTGTCAGCTCTTGGGAGTCTCTCAAAGCCATCCTCTCTGATCCTGTCACGTAAGTATCGGCTCTCGTTTGATAGATCTGAATATGGTTGACAACTAGGACGACCTTTTTTTTTATGAACCTGAGTCAATCTCATTCTACTTTGAAGATCACTGAGGTGTGACGGAATATGTATCTTTTACGTGAAAATAATTGCATCTAGTGTAAATGTTAGCTCCTGTTAACATTCACAGATATGATTTTCTCTCTGTTACTTTGCTTTGGATAGCGGAAACTTAATGAATGATGCTACCATACTGCCTTGTGGACATTCTTTTGGAGCTGGAGGGCTAAGAGAAGTCAAACGAATGGTAAATGCTTCTTTACTAATCCGTTTTATATCTCTTGTCTTGTTTTTGTTATATATGAATGAATCTTCACGAACGAGTTTTGAGAGACTTTTTTGTTGTCAGAAAGCATGTTTCACATGTTCCCAACCTACTTCAGAAGGATCAGGAAAGCCAAATCTGTGTGAGTTTAATGAAATTACTGGTGTCGGTGGAAGACTCAAATTTCTTCAACAGTTTCTTCTTCTTTTTCCTGATCCAGTTTATCCGCTTGTTCAGCTCTTAGAATTGTAGTTTATGCCTTCTGCCAAGAAGAAGAATCAGATCATATTCACTCCTTGAAGCGAAGGAAAGAAAGGTCGGATCAGGTTTGTTTCTATATTTAACTGTACAAGCTTACCTTTACATTGTGAAAACATAGAAACTGAGTTTCTTTCTTATAAAGCACAAGAGAAGTTTCTACATCCCAAAAGTCACAGAAACTCCAAAGAGTAGCCGAGGCATACAGTTTCCTTTCTCCATCGGAGATCATATTATCATAGAGGTCTGAGATCTTCCACCATACCAAGTTTACTTACCACAATCAGAAATATACTAATTTCATGTTTTAACAGACAAAAGTTACCATGTTTTAGGGAAACAAAAGGACACCTCCACGGTTTGTCGGACGCAAGGCAGTTATAATGACACAGTGCTTAAATGGATGGTTAAGTCTCGTTTGCCTCATTTCATCCATAAGATGCTAAAGCTCTTATAACAATACTGGACTTCTATTTTCAGGTACGTTGTGAAGACAGTGGACAATGCAGAGTCTATTAAGTTACAACATTGCTCACTTGCTAAGATCTCTGACAATTCGCCTGCTAAAGTAACAGTAGCTGAAGTGGCACCATCTTGGCTTTAGCTCATATAGATCAGCATCTGTAATTTTCGTTCGTTCAAGAGAAACTGAATACGACATCTCATTATGTGGTACAGGAACCAGACAACGATTCCCTTGTATTATTAAGACGCAGTGTTTCATATTCGTACTAGAAAACTTTGCCTCTAGAATAGACATGTGTATTGAAGCAAATGCCAAATTTGTAGCATTGATACATAAAGGTCGCTTCTAATGTTACATACACGAATGACAAAGCATCAATCGCCTATTATTTACACTAACGATGATAACTATCAAAAGTACTAAACACATATGACAATATATAAGGGGTGGGACTAGTCGAAGACCCGGTAAACCAAAAACAAAAACAATTAAGAACTGGTAGGCGGCGACTTCATCATTGACAGAAGAAAACTGCAGGTTGAAAAAATGGAAGCTGCAGCTGCCTGAACCGCCATACTAGTCTCCTGATTCCCGTCTTTCCCAAAACTACAAACATATTGAATAGCAAGAAAATCAGTTAAATCAGTTGTTTTCTATGCATCTATGGACTGCTTGGTCTAATTTCTTCACCTTGAATCTGATGATTGGGAACTAAAAGGTGAGTACTCGTCCATTTGTCGTAGACCCTCGTTGCATCTTGACTGCATTTCCCTCACTTGGTTTAATGAACGTTCCTGCAAATTTCAAATCGATAGTATCAATACATCAAAGATGATTATATGTGTCGCTATAATTCTAGCTTGAAGGCAGTGGATATGTACACACCAAATCTCTCTCTTCATCATAAAGAGCTTTGTTAATCTGATCAAATTTTGCGGACCACCTTATCTTATGCGTCTCTGTTACTGCTTTATCAGATGAAGCATCACCAGAAGTATTTGTATTTGGCATCTGAAGAGTATCTTCTTGGTTAGAAGAGGATTCTTTTGATGAAACGAGAAGCGGTAATTCGGTAGTCAAAATATTTTGAACTCTGTTCCTACTATCCTGCACCGCTGCAAAAACATCATAAGATCTCACTCAGACCACTAAAACTTAATTAAAAATCCCCTCTATGGTATTCCTTCGAGCAAGTAAAATGTGCACCTGAAAGCCGCCCGCTGAGGTCTTGGTGAAGAAAATCCAGCCATTGGGAAGCTACAGTAGCAGCTAAAAAGCAAACAAACATTTTCCTTTTAAGCATTTCTTTCCGTTTCCACTTCTGCATATGAAGTGATCATCATGCACAAAAGAAAGAAATACCTAACATTTATCCTTCTGCCACTTCTACACTACTTTAATCAGTAAACCTAATCGACAAAAGTCTTCACTTTTCTCATAGGACTTAATCACTTATTACTTCAAACATATTTAGAAACTCAATAAAGTTCACTCAAGACGATCTCAAACAAGATAAGGTACTGACCTTCAACAGCAAGAGACGTGGCTTGTTCTGGGTATGTAATGGAATTGGCATTATCAGACACCCCAGTGGATGGTAACTTAAAGGCTAATGCCCTATCTTCTTTAATTGACTCTGAAATCCCAAAGTAAAGAGAGTGATTAAACATTGAGTGTTGAAGTTCTCGTGTCTGGTCTGAATTGGTTAACATGACATCTTAACGAGGTAAATGAGAACGATAGATACCTCTTACATTCAAATTGGCATGTCTTTCCCCAACGCTAGCATCACCATTAGCATTTCGAATCAGAGCTTCAATAATTGAGCAGACCTGTTTCTTAGTCCTGACATGGTTAATGATTCCCGGGTTCAATTCTGTCAGCAATCCACTTGGTGCGGTAACATTGGCGAACCTATCTACCAGCTGTTGTTCTCTTCTAGGGACCTCGTTTTTCTTCTTGAGAGAATCACCCCCTTTCCTCTTATTCTTTTGTTGCTTTTGCGCAGGAACTTCAACAGGCGCAGTCGCTACTGTAGAACTTGGTGCTGCTACTCCACCCAAAGGGCCTGAGAGAAAACCATTCCGCTTCATTTCCATCCATCGGCGCATAGAATCTGACTCACCCAATGAACCCGCTGTAGTAGTACACATCTGAAAAGGACTTACTTTATCGCCAAGAGGAATTGAAGGCGAAGGCTCTGCTGCTCCTCGAGGACTTCCAACGGATTCAGAAGTCTCCTTAGGTTTCAAATGGACAATACTCTTTGAAACATCGACTTGTGCTCTTCTTGACTCACATTTACCATCACTTTTAACAGTATGATTATTCTTAAGCAAAGCCTGTTTCCCGGAACTAGCAACGCATCTATCATCATCTTTAGAAACTGAGTTAGCCTTAGGCAAGCAAGTGGTCGTCTCAATAACTTTGGAAGGTTTTATATCTAGAGCCAAAACATCCTTTTCTTTAACTAGTACTCTTCCTAAACCTTCAGCATTAGGAGGCACATGCATTTCAGAAACTCCTGAAATCTTTTCACCAGTAAGATTTGGTAGCTGAACAATTCCAATTTTTACATCAGACTGCAGATTACTGGTTTTAGCATCTGTAGCAATAAGCAATTAAAAAGAAGGAACATTTTTTAACAAATCATCCAAAAATTCTCATATCGAATAATCGAAATGGAGTAATATCTATTCATAAAACCCGAAGAATTTACCAGAATACAGATCTGGCACTTTCACACGTTTAGACCCTAATTCATCTTTCTCTTCTAATCCATTTCCGTTACGCTTCTCGCCCGAAATCTGAAAAATTGGGAGAAACCCAGAGACCAAGAACACAATCCCCAATTAACAAATCGCAGAAAAAAAAAAACAAACAAAGAAAGAAAAAAAACAAGCAAAAAAAAAAAAAGTCATCGGGGAGGGGAAAGAACCAAACCCCAGAATTCGATGCAACCCCAGAGGAAACCCCTCTCTGTTCCTCCATTTCCACACCAGAAAGATCTCCTCTTTCTCAAAAAAAGACCTGGTCTTAAATTACGAAAACGAAACAAGTATACGCACACATAAGTAATAGGGATTGAATTGAAAAAGGAAAGAACCTAGAGAGCAAAGGATTAGAAGAAATGATTAGGGTTGAGAGGGAGAGTGAGGTAAGAGATGCAGAAAGCTCTTTTGGAGGATAAATCGATGAGAGTGAGACCCGAGACAAGTCGGAAGAGAAAAGGATTTTGAATTCAAATGGGGAGAAGAGTGTGTGTGTGTTAAGGTTTTGTTATAAAGGAAGGCTTCCTCTAGTTTTTTTCGGCCGCTCACCTTAGACCCTTTTATATATTCTTCCATTCGCACTCCAAACACAAAATACTAGTAGTAGGGCTCATTTTTCTAAATTTCGATACTACATTTTTAGCAAGTCTGTATGATTTATTTACTTATGTCACCACCAAACATTTTTACTCTTCAAGAGTCTACTTCATATTTCATTATCATAATTTAGAGATTTTAGTATTACTAAAAGTTTAATTGAATTGGTTTTGAAATGTCTAGGCTAAAGACTTAAAAATCGTAATTATACAAATTATATCAAATAACGTTTAGAGCTAAATATATTTAAATATATGAGGATGGGTATGTATGTTCAAGAAAACCACGTAATATTTGATAAACATATAAAGTAAATTGTATATGTTTATCAAATTGTATAAAGCAAATACTAGAAAGTGAAGACTTTAACTCTAAACTGAAAATAAAAAAATATTAACTATTAATTATAAAGTTTAAACTATAGAGATCAATCACATATGAAATAGAAAACCATATAACGGTCATTTCCTGAGGATGGTTGATTATTTGCTATTTTTTGTCTTAACGTCTTTGGTTACTCTACTCATGTTTCCACCGTGCATTTTTACTCCTAACTAGTAATTTTCTACATCCAGAAAGTCTACTTTGTATATCATCATCACAATTTTTAGATTTTAATATTACCAAATGCTAAGAACATAATTGAATTGGTTAATGCCTAGATTAAAGACTTTAAAACCATATTTATACAATTTATAGCAAATAACTATAGAGCTGAAGATATTTAAATAGTTGTGGATGGGTGTGTTCAAAGTGTTCAAAGAATATGATAATGTACATCAATTCATCAAATTATATAAAAAAATACTAAAAAGTAGAAACTTGAGCTCTAAACTGAAATACTCCCTCGTTTCATAAAGGATGATGTTTTGGGATTTTTTTTGTTCCATAAAGATTGATGTTCTACAGATTTTAATTAATTAATATTAATATTTTGTTAATTTCAAGAAATAATCATTAATAAAATTTGAATTTCTGAATTGTTATTGGCTTTTAATTAAATAATATTTTTTTGGTGAGAAAAATTAAAGTTTTTTAAAAATAATCATAATTGTTTTTTAATTTACGGAAAATCTCCTAAACATCAATCTTTTAGAAATGGAGGGAGTATAAAATATTAACTCTAAAGTCTAAAGTTTAAATTATACAGATCAATCACATATGGAAAAAAACAAACATATAATATAATGGTCATTTCATGAGAATAGATTGGTTATTTGTTTGCCTTGTTTTTTTCTAAAACGTCTAAAGTAAAAGAAAAACTCTAATATATCTTTCGAACTAGTATTTCAAGAAAAAATCGGAAGAAAATATTTTTAAGATAACTTTAGAATAATTCAATATGGAAATGATCATTAGTCTTGGCATTAACATTATTTGAAAAGATATTTAATGGAAATAAAAATATTGTTGAACAAGGAGAATCTTATATGATAACAAACATAGAAACATATAAATTGCTATTACTAGAAATGCAAAGAAATCAAACAATGTATTATGATTTTGCGTAATCAAAGACAAATAGCTTCGAAGTTGCATTAACAAAACGGACTCTTCGTAACAGGGGTTAATAATATAAAAGTGGTGCCCAGACGACGCCGTTTGGAGCCTGTTCCGGGTTTTTTTGTTATGTTTTTTTTGGCCATCACCTTCCTTCAGACACGAAACGTAAAATCTGAATCTCTCTCTCTTTCGCTGTCCGATTCCGACAGATAGAGAGAGGAAGAGAAGGGCGCGAAACAGAGAGAGAGAAGAAGGACGATCCAGATATGGAGGATCCTTCGAACCCAAAATCAAACCAGAGCAATCTCCCACAATGCCCTCCTTTAGCCTCAGCTCCGACGTCGGCTCCATTTCGTGGCCCGTACCACCGGAGAGCACATTCGGAGGTTCAATTCCGCCTCCCTGAAGATCTGGATCTGTCTGAACCATTCGGAGGATTCGACGAGCTTGGATCCGAAGATGACCTCTTCTGCTCATACATGGACATAGAGAAACTTGGATCCGGATCCGGATCCGCATCCGATTCGGCTGGTCCATCAGCTCCTAGGTCCGATAACGTGTTTTCAGCTGAAAATGGAGGCGCGGAGGCTGGGAATTCGAGACCGAGACACAGACACAGCCTCTCCGTTGATGGGTCTTCGAGTTTGGAATCAATTGAGGCCAAGAAAGCTATGGCCCCTGACAAACTCGCCGAGCTTTGGGTCGTCGACCCTAAGAGAGCTAAAAGGTTTCATCTTTAATCCCATAAATGTCGAGAATTTCCTGTGATTTGATCAACTCTACTTCCTCTTCGATCGTTATGCTTTTGTTTACAATTCGCGGGAAAAAAGTTGGTTTCTTTGTGACCTTTATTTGATGAAATATGAATCTTTTGATGTTGATGTGATGCCTTTTAGGTGTTCTTTTAGAGATTTTTTTTTTGTTTTTTGCTTGGTTACGTGTTACATCACCATTCTTTTTTACTCTGATCTCGAAACTCAACCATAACTGATTTTTAACTGAAATGTAGTTATAGCCTTCTAGTACTATGCTACTCCTCTTTTTCTTTTTAAGGTCTTTCCCGGCTGGGAGAGAGACCATGAGGGACCCATAAGTATGCTTTTTTCTGTTTAATTCCCAAAGTTGAGTTCTGTGGGAATGCGTCTCTTTCATGATGATTTGATGGCCCCCAGCTAAATTCTTTCGGACTAGCTTTTGTTTGATTGGTCAGTTCAACCTTGGTTCTCAATTCCTATGTGGTTATAGATCCTACCTAATGTTGAGTTTTTGTGTGGTTTTTCTCGTATGGCTGGGATATGATCCTTTTTCACATTTCCTTTTAGCAGTCAACTGTTTGGAGGGAATTGAAAGTTATAGTATCAAGCGGCTTTGGTTCTATTAAAGTTTGGGAATTAGCTTTGTTTGGTTTCTGATCTGTCTCAATATGGTTAAGGGCGATCCATGTAATCTCCGAGGTTTTTAGTTGGGAAATTGGGATGATCTTTTGGTAATGGTCATTGTTGAATGCGTGACTGTTTTGCGGCTTATAGTAATAAAGATATCTGCTTTCTCTATGTTGTTCTATATTCTTCAACATAGAGTGGAAACATTCAGCATTCTCTATTAATTTTGATGCTCCAATAGTCTAATCCTGTCTCGGGCACTCTGTGCAGGATAATTGCTAACCGACAGTCTGCTGCTCGTTCGAAAGAGAGGAAGGCTCGATATATTTTGGAGCTCGAGAGGAAAGTTCAGACCTTGCAAACTGAAGCTACTACCCTCTCAGCACAACTGTCTTTGTTTCAGGTTCTCTTACAAACCTCAATACTTCATTTGTAGTAACATTCTCTTCTTTGCACATTTTGAAATTACTGAAAATAGCACTCGTTTTCTCATCTACTGCCTTATAACTTGCTTATTACAGAGAGACACAACTGGTTTATCATCTGAGAATACAGAGCTCAAGCTTCGCTTACAGGTCATGGAACAACAAGCTAAGTTGCGAGATGGTATGTATTAATCGTTCCTTCCCTCCTTTTATCTGATTGTTTGGGTTTGAAGGTCACTTTTTTGATGATTCTTCCTTACACAGCACTGAACGACCAACTGAAAAAGGAAGTTGAAAGGCTCAAATTCGCCACTGGAGAAGTCTCACACGCTGATGCTTATAACCTCGGAATGGCACACATGCAATATCAGCAGCAGCCACAACAATCCTTCTTTCAACATCATCAGCAACAAACTGATGCTCAAAACCTGCAACAGATGACTCATCAGTTTCATCTCTTCCAACCCAACAACAACCAAAACCCAAACACATCCTCTCGCCCAAACCCTCCCACCGCTCACCAGCATATGCATCACGCTAATTCTAATGGCCCGGCTCAATCTCATTCCTATTCAGAAGCAATGCATGAAGACCCTCTTGGCCGGTTACAGGGGCTTGACATTAGCAGCTGTGGCAGAGGCTCAAACTTTGGTAGGTCTGACACCGTCAGTGAAAGCAGCACTACTATGTAAGGCTGCATTTTACAGATTCCGCTTTGTCGATAAACCTATTCTTTTGCTCTCCCTTGAAATCTTTAGCTAAAAAAAGGTAACAGTTCCGTGACCGTCTGATTCATTTTTTATTCTGTAAAACTGGTTTCGCTTTGGGGGTTTTGGGGTTTCGACTTTAGAGACCACAGGTGTTTTTAACTTGTCTGATATCTCTGTTTCCTGATTCATCTTGTTCTTCCGGGGGAGCTACTGAAGTATAACCACGTCCTTTTCCTGTTTCTTTATGTTGTATCGCTTCCCTAGTTGCTTCTATAATCATCCTGTAATTGATGGTTGAATCTGGATTTGGATTGGGATTTCGCTTTGGCTTGAACCACATCAGAAAATGTGTTTTTGTTTTGCTGGTCTCCTAAATAACTTTTGAGTTATTTTCGTTTCCAGTAAATTTAATTTTTTTTTTATAGGAAATGTCTGTTTGTCAGCTACTTTCACAGTTCCAGTCCAGTTACCTTTGCTTCAAGCACAAGTAACTCAAGACTCTACATAAGAATCCTAATGTCTGAAATCACTTTACTTAAACCGCAATAGAATTCAACAAGTATAACAAACCAGTCTCGTTTCATCAGAATGTATGAAGATATTTTGAAAATTACCCACTTGAGCTTAGGAACAAAAGCAGAGTAACGTGTTAAACCGGGTCAAGACACAAACTACATGAACCGAAACTAGCCATGTTGAGGCCACTTAAGAGGTACCCTAGCTACCAAACAACAGAATTAAATACTCACATGAGAATTTCTCAACATATTTCAGAAAAAAATACTTAAGAACACTTGAAGTTTATTTATCGTGTGTCGGCTATTAGAAGTTGGGTCACTGAAACGACGTTCCCTTTGGACAATGACCATAAAACGTAGTAATTGGACAGTCCCAACAGTTTTGGGGCAACAAATAGACAAAAACCTTGTGATGGTTACTTAAAGCGTGGTCCCTTTGGCTTTTCCTTTGGTTACGTTTTTGGATAGAACTTACGTGACCTTTTTGTGGATACAATTCAAACAGTGTTTTCCTTTCGATTGATTCTTGTTCTTATCCAGCTTCAAGATAGATGAGTGTCTCATTTGCACTGAATGTGCTACTGAGTGTAACCTTTAACTATTACTATATACTAATATACTAAATAGGTGAACTGAACCACCTAAAGATTCTTTGTCAAGAAAATCTTAACCAAAAGAAGACGGTAGTTTTCAAAAGTAGAGCTAATACCACTGTCGATCGTAAATAATATATATATATCATAATCTTCTTCTTCTTGATGGAATTTTCTTTCATATGTATCCCTTAAAACATAGTGAACACTTTGTAAGTTTTAGTTAACCTAATTTTGCTCTCTCTCTTTTTTTGAAAATAATGTTAAATTTTGCTCTCTTTAATTTACGTTTTTTTTTTCTTTCAGAATTAAGAGTCATTGTAAATAACAATATGAATACGTGATATTGTTGTCGTATTCGTTGTGTTATCACTTGAGTTTACATATGCGTATTTCATGTTGAAGACAAAAAATGAAACGGTGTTTTAAATTTCTGGTAGAAATTATCCAAAAATTGCCAAAACATAGTACACTGTAGTCTTCATACAACAATCCTTTGTTTTGTTCTGCTTAAAATAAAAAATACGTTTCTATATTTTCTTTTAGGGAATCACGAATTCACGAGGTAAACCTATACATTTGCTGAATTTAGTTGATGACATTATAGGCAGATATACGCATAAATAATAGAAGATATAACAAGAGAGTAAACTAAACTAATAGCAATAGGATGTATAATAAAAGGGCCACGAAATTGACGTATCAGAAAAATGCATGAGAGCCTTAAAAACGTTAGAAATCTTTGCATGTGCTTCTAACATGGTAGGGTTCATCTACTGACCCACTTACTCAGAGCCCTGACTAGTCAATCCAGGTAATTTAAGTACGTAGCGCTAAGCATAACAATATCCACGAATTCATCTTAATCAAACCCAAAAAAATACTTATAACTCAGAGCTAATCAACTATTAAACTGATACCAGCAAAATTACCGTCATAATATATATCCGATCTAGGCACTCGATTAAAACAACAACAGACTGACGACTTGGATACATTACAAACTAGCTCCACAGAAAATATATACTTATACGAAATATACAAATATAAAAATGGGCACGATGTATGAAATAACTTATATCGTTGTTGTCATATGTATAGCATCGATTATAGGCATGTTCGCCAATAACAAGATCAATCTAAAGAACCACCTAGGAGAAAAGGTTCTGTAGTAGTTGTTTATAGAATATCTCTCGAAGTCGAATGCATCATATAAATTAACACGCCAATTATTATCGATTTGGAGAATATAGAATAATACTATATAATATCTTTATATAGTCGACTCCCAATATTTCCACAATTTTGTAGGTGATGAATCGAACAAAAATAGTATTGATATATATTTATTTGAAACTATAAATTCGAGAGCAAGCCTTATTCCCTCTTACTAGATTTTTTTTTTTGGGGGCAAATTCCCTCTTACTAGTTTAAAAGGTAATTATACAAATTTTTTGTTATCCTAAATAAAAATTTATATCTTATAGGAACCGTGATAGGAATCATTAACTGATACTATTTCGGTCAGTTTCTGATGTATAAAAGTATCCGTTGAACATACTGATGTCGTTGATTACACAAGTCTTTTGTGTTGTATAAGCCAAATATATATGTACAATAGTATTTTATCCCCAAAAAAATAATAAAAAACCTTCAACGCAAACAAAATAAGAGATATGATCTTATGATAAACGTAAAACGAAAGAAGAGACAAATTAATAAATAGTTTGCGTAATGAAGCATGTGCAAGTAGGGGCCTCTTGATTAGGAATCGCAGTTGGTCTAACCGCAACATTTGCATGTGGCCACAACCTTCAAAAAGCCCCCCCCCCCCCCCCCTGATCTTATTCTTCTACCATAAAACCATACATTTTTTTTCTTCTTTTTTTTTGTTTCCTAAAACTGTTTAATTTTTTCTGTCCACAAAAATATAAAAATCTGGCCGCAACAAACCAAATCTTACTCTACTCAAGATTAACGGTGGCATACATTGTTGACTTTGCTTCTAGTTATCCCATACAAATAAAAAGTCATCCTACATTTAGTTTGGCCATTACAAATTTTGATGCTCGATTCTGTTGGAGATCAAACTGTATGAATGATTAATGAATATGGTCATATGGAGATACATTGGGATTTAACGAGAAATAAAAGGCACAATCCTCTCGCAAATTGGTGAGAGACACTAGAATTATAAAATATATGACCATACCCAAAAAGGTGAAAGAAGAGACACCAACGTACTTAGTATAGTAAACATTTAAATACCATTATCGCTTGGCACAATTATACACTCAAGAACCCCCTATATATACTCAATCCCTCCCTTTTGATTCCATATCAGTCTCCCACCAAATCAAATCCGATACTCCCAACCGAAATAACCAACACATTCAAGAAAACAAATAATGTCTATCACATCAAACTCCAAGTATTCAATATTAATCTCAACTATATCCATACTCAGCTTATCATTGTTCCTCCAAGGAACTCGTGGAGACTACGGAGGTTGGCAAGGTGGCCACGCCACGTTTTACGGTGGCGGCGATGCTTCCGGCACCATGGGTATGGCCAAATAATTAAGTAAACCATGTTAGCTAATTTTATCTCTTGATTCATACGTATGGATTACTAGCTAACACGTGGCATATATGGTCAAATCAGGCGGAGCTTGTGGCTATGGAAATTTGAATAGCCAAGGTTACGGGACGAACACGGCGGCTTTGAGTACGGCTCTATTCAACAACGGGCTCACTTGCGGCGCGTGCTATGAGATGAAGTGCAACGATGACCCGAGGTGGTGTCTCTCTTCTACTATCACGGTCACAGCCACTAACTTTTGCCCACCAAACCCTGGCCTCTCCAACGATAATGGAGGTTGGTGCAATCCTCCTCTTCAGCATTTCGACCTCGCCGAGCCAGCTTTTCTCCAGATCGCTCAGTATCGTGCCGGCATTGTTCCTGTCTCTTTCCGAAGGTCCGTTTACTTTGTTCGTACTTGTAATATATAGTAGTTGGATATGGATGCAATTGTCCTCTTATATTTACACGCTTAGACTAATGGATTATGTGTGATTTCAGAGTACCGTGTATGAAGAGTGGGGGAATAAGGTTTACGATCAACGGACATTCATACTTCAACCTTGTTCTGATATCGAACGTAGGAGGAGCCGGAGACGTACACGCCGTATCGATCAAGGGCTCGAAAACACAGTCGTGGCAAGCGATGTCTAGGAATTGGGGACAGAACTGGCAGAGTAATTCTTACATGAACGACCAAAGCCTCTCGTTCCAAGTCACCACCAGCGATGGTCGCACCGTCATTAGCAATGACGTGGCTCCTTCTAATTGGCAGTTCGGACAAACCTACCAAGGCGGTCAGTTCTGATGATCAGTTCATCTCTCTGTTTTGGGTGCTGACGTGGCTGCGTATTGCTGAGGTGGCTCGTATAAGCACCCGCTTAGCTTAGTTTTTTCTCTTTTTTTTAATCATATTTACGAATTGTTGGTTAAATGGTTGTATTTTCATCATGCCTACACAAATCAAAGGTTTTTTTTTTTTTTTTTCATGTTTATTTAATTTAGCCTTATTGGCCTGTTTTTCTTCTTTGTAATCCAATATCGCTAAGCCCAAAATAATGAAACTAAAAATATTTCGAGTTTAATATATAACCAACATGAAGCATTTTATAAGTCAACGGTCAATAACCGCGTGAAGAAGAATGATTCGTCTCTGTTTTCTCAAAGTATCTCTCCGAAGAGAGGTAAACGAATCTAGTGAGGGATGGTATCTGACGGCAAAGAAGTAGCTTTCAAGTTGTCTGACTGTTGCGTTCTTAAGATCGTTCAAGGGGACATCACAATCTGGTCCGTCGATGGCTCTTCCGATGCTATTGTCAGTCTTCTCTCTTTAGCTCTTTTGTATCCAGATTTTATCAAAAGACGTTGGCCGTTTCTGTTCCCTTGCTTCTTTGAGAATGAGGAAACTTTGATTGACATCAGGTTAATCCAGCAAATGGACGTATGCTAGGTGGTAACGGTGCTGATGGAGGTACTTCCCTTCAATTATTCATAAAATTAGTATCAAATAAAATTCTCATTATATGAAATGATATCAAAGTATTCAGAGTTATATACTCTGTTTATATACAGAGTTGGGAAATAACGTATACTCGTCTCTGGTTACTAAGATCATTATCAATCTTTCTAAGTTCTAACTAACTTATTTTTTTTTAACTCATATACTTTAATAAAGCTATTCATGACGCTGCTGGGTCACAGTTGAGAGCAGCATGTTATGAAGTCCCAGAAGTTAGCCCCGGAATTCGTTGTCCCACCGGAGAAGCAAGAATCACGCCGTGTGTTTCTTTTTTTGTCTTCTCTAACATTTTTACCCAAATTGAGTTTGTTGATTGTTTTTTTGCTTATTGGATATTGGATCAGGGGTTTCAACTTGCAGGCATCTCATGTAATTCACACGGTTGGACCTATTTATAATGCCGAGAAGAATCCTAATAAACTCCTAGAAAGTGCTTACAAGTAATAAGCAAGAGAAACACTTTTCTGCGCTTATCTTGGTTACTTTACTTTATGCTTATTGTGTATTTTTCTTTATACTTGTGTTGGTAACAGGAACAGTCTGAGAGTAGCTAAGGACAATAACATTCAGTACATTGCATTTACTGCAATATCTTGTGGTATTTTCAGGTGAAGTATTTTAATTTTAGGAAGATTCAGAAACTTGTATCTTAACATTGTTGGTGAATGTTTTCACAGATTTCTTCCCATTTGTGAACCATCTAGAGAGATAAATACAAATTCCAATTGTTTTTTTTTTGTTGTTTTTTCATCTGATTGCTAGGTATCCTTTGGATGAAGCTGCTACTATAGCTATCTCCACTGTTAAGCAATTTGGTAAAGATTTTAAGGAGGTAGCATTACACTTTTCCCTTAAACCATTCATATGCTTCACAAGATTCTATTTAAATCCAACAAGTACTCTTAGATATCTCAGTTTGGTAAGTGTTTTAAATCCGTGTTACTGAGAAAATGAAAAAAAATACCCTTCTCAGGTACATTTTGTTATGTTTAACGAAGATACATACACGGTGTGGCTGAACAAGGCCAAAGACTTACTACCTCCACCACAAGGCCGCAGCTTCTCCCCCTCGCCGCAGACAGCCAAAACTCGATTCTTAAGTAATCTCAACTGTTGTTTTAAACCTGTTTAGCTTTTTATGCAAACATTGTCTCTCATGTTGTAAACTTTTGTGAAGTTTTCAAAAAAATAAACACATCCTTGAGAGAAAAGAGAAAAAATGTGTTCATCTCTATCAAATCTTTTCATTAGAGTGTGCTTTCTCGTCTGATCTGGGCTATGAATAGGCCCATTATAATCGCTATTAGTAATGGGCCAAAACCCCGTGAGTGAGAGTAGAAGGCGACGACTCAAATGAGACGACTATGGTTGACCTGTGGAGTGGGAAGCTCGAGTCTCCCTAGATTACTACTACACTCGAGCTCGATCCTAACAACTGCGAGAGCGTCTCTGATCTCCACCACCTCCTTCGCCCTCAATACGTCCCACACGAGGACCTCTCGCTTAGCAACTGTATCATCCATGGCTTCTGGAGACGAATTAGCTGTTTTCAATTTGTCTGATTCTAGCCTTCTTAAGATCCTTAAAGGTGATATCACCAAGTGGTCCGTCGATGGCTCCTCCGATGCTATTGTAAAGTCTCTCTTTCTCTATCAAAATTCAAAAATTCTAGGGCTGGCTTGTAGGCAAATAGATAGATAGAATTAGATTAAATTGGTACAAAAACTAGTTGATAGGCTCTTGGATTACAGTTAGGTCTCTCGAGTACTTGTAACTTTAGCAGTTTGTTTCGTCAGGTCACTCCAGCAAATGAGCGTATGTTAGGTGGTGGTGGTGCTGATGGAGGTAAGTTTTACCTCCAAGTCCATTGTCTATTTGTTACTGTGTTAGTATGAACTGAATTCTGAATTGAAAAGCTGATTATCTTTGTGACAGCAATACATAGAGCTGCCGGGCCACAACTCAGAGCAGCATGCTATGAGGTTCCTGAAGTTCGTCCCGGAGTCCGTTGTCCAACCGGAGAAGCAAGGATTACTCCGTGAGTTACTCTTATTCTTCTCATGTATTAATGTTTTTTTTTTTTTCGAAATTTGGATTGTTGAGTGATGAACTAGTTGGATTGGAAAATTGGAACAGGGGTTTTAACCTGCCTGCATCGCGTGTGATTCACACCGTTGGACCGATCTATGACTCGGATATCAACCCTAAAGAGTCCCTCACAAATTCTTACAAGTAAGCAGAATCACAGTCTCAGTGACTCACTTGTTTACACTATGGAATTTTTTATATAAGACATGTTTCCTCTTTATGTATGTTACAGATATAGTCTGAGAGTGGCAAAGGAAAACAACATCAAATACATTGCATTCCCTGCCATATCTTGTGGGATTTACGGGTAAAGTTCTCACAACCAGAGACTAAATTCATCTTTATGCTACAAAACCTATCCAACTAATTCTTAATCATTAGTGATTGACAATTAGTGGAAAGTTTGGGCAAACTGTAAAGAAAAAAACCTTATGTTCTCAATGTTTTGCTTTTATTAGATATCCTTTTGATGAAGCTGCTACTGTTAGTATATCAACCATTAAACAGTTCTCTAATGACCTTAAAGAGGTAAAGATAGTTTCTCTTTTCTAGATTGTTACACTTCCATGGATTCAATCCGCTAAGTGACTGACATTTTTCTTGTAATCTCATATTGTTATTCTTATTAAGGTGCATTTTGTTTTGTTCGCGGACGATCTATTCAGCTTGTGGGTAACCAAAGCAAAGGAGATGCTACAAAAAGCCTAAGATTCCATCAGCGGCGTAAAATACACCACAACTAATCCCTAAACCTTCACACAAACAAAGCGTTTGCTACTTTGTGTAATGTTATGAGCGCCTTGTGATTTGTTTGTTGTGGTTAGATTTCGTAATAAAGAGATTTCTGTTTCTACATTTTTTCCTAATTGTTTTTGCAATAACACTGTTAGATTACGTAAGAAAAGGAAATTAATGATGATATGACAAAACGAGCGTTCAGATGACAGAAACAGGTAGTATACAGAATTTGATTTAATTGTTTTGTAAACCTATAATTGTTTTTGTTTAGATGAAATTTTTTTAATTAATGTATTTCTATTGTATCTAAATACTTAACTTAATAATTTATTTTAATATTTAAGCTAGCATTGGATAATATTAAACATTAAATTTTGATATAGTTTAATTCCAGCGTGTATATGATTTCGTAATTGGAAAAGGAAAAGAGGTCCAAGTTCCAGTTGAAAAAGTACGAACCCACCACGTACAGACCTGAACTTATATAAATAGATATCGATAGAAGAGTAATGATTCATCACACATTACTCAGGTAACAAAAAGCAGACAAAACCCTTGAAAGGATTAAATACGTAAAAGCTTCTTCACTTTAGATATGGAGCAAATTTGCAGAGATAATGATTGGACTGTGGACGAGTCTTCACTTGAAACCATCTCTTTCCTTGGCCAAGGAAGATTCGGCCATGTCACTCTCGAGAGGGACTCCAACTCCAGACTTTGCGCAAAGAAGTCATCGCCGATGCATCTCAAAAAGATTCTCGAGAAGGAGCTCAGGATCATGCATCGTTTCCAAGATCATCCTCGCATCGTCAATGCCTCAAACACTCTTCACTTACGAACCAAACCCGCCGGCTACGAATGCTACATGATTAATATGGAGTACGCCTCCCAAGGTAATCTCCATAAGCTGATCGACGGTTCTCGCAGGGAATCACGGAAGATACCTGAGCCTCTGGTCCAACGTGCGGCTCGTATGATCCTAGAAGGACTCGTTGCTCTTCACTCCCATGGTTACGTTCACTGCAGGCTCAAGCCATCCAGCGTTCTTGTCTTCCCCTCCGCAACTCCTGGAGAGCCGTGGGATCTCAAGCTTGCTGATTTCGGTTCATCCAAGGAACCTGATTCCGATTATGATTTCATGTCCACTTTTACGGCTAAATATCTGCCACCAGAGTCTTTTGCGCCAAGCGGACTGGTCATCGAGCCGGGACTTGATATATATGCTCTGGGGTGTGTGGTTTCTGAGATGTTTGGAGCTATACCTATCCAGGAGATATTTGATGAATTTTACGAGTGGAAGTTGCGTGGTCGAGATATCTCTCCGGAGGCTAGAGATTTCTTGAGTCAGTGCAATGACATGCATCCGCGGAGGCCCACCGCTGCTGAGCTAATGCAACATCCTTTCATTACAAGAAGCCTTCCATCGCCAACCACAGAAGACGACGAGGGGTCGTTTGATTTCGAATGTCTCGAAGCTTCTCTTGACATGATCCTTGATTTTCTTAATTAGTATCATAGTTAGTTTTAGTTGGTTTCTTTACTTGTATCAGAAGAAAACTACTCTTAAGTCAGTTTTTCTCTCTCTTTAAAATAGGTTTATCAGTATGTGCTGATCAGTTAAGAACTCTTTCATGTTTTTTTTTGGTTTGGTTTTAATGTGAAGATTTCATCCCGTAAGCTATTACAACCTAATAATATACAAATTACAAAACAAACCCATGTCATTATCATGAGAACAAGAGACAGGCAGACTAGACTTATAGACTTTATATTTGAGTCCTGCAATTTATAATTTACTCTAATGTTGTTGCTCTATCCATTTTATTATCGATATCTTCTAACTATTTTGTTAGGGTAACGTATGATTTTGTTGGGAAACACATGAAAGTAAATGTGACTTAACAGAGGAAACTAAAAGCAAAAACAAAAAAAGATTAAAGAAGAAGAGAAGGCCCAGTATACTGTAAAAAGTAATAGTAAAGATGAATTAAACCAACAAATTTTGTTTGGAGAAAATAAAGCCTAAGCCCAGTATATGTTAAAAGCCCATAATAATGTAAGGCCCAATAAAGTAATAGTAAAGATGAGGTCCTCAAATCTAAAGTTAGACGAGAAGATCACTGAGAAGGAGTAACCCTAGCCGGCAGCAGAAGAAACACACAGAGAACAGAGAGGAAAAGCCAAAGATGGTACTCATCGTCTTCTCGATCTATCTCTTTGATTTACAGGAAAGATCGTGAATTGATGAGCTTCTTCATTGTTGTGCTGTGTTGCAGACTTTCAAGCGTAGGAACGGTGGGAGGAACAAGCACAACAGAGGTCACGTCAACCCAATCAGATGCTCCAACTGTGGCAAATGCTGCCCCAAGGTACTCTTTTCCACCACCTCTGCTTCTCAATCATCTCCAGTCATTTATATATGCATTCCTATGCAAAGTTTGATTTTGATATTGTGGGTTTGGATAGGACAAGGCCATTAAGAGGTTCATCGTGAGGAACATTGTGGAGCAGGCTGCTATCAGAGATGTTCAGGAAGCCAGTGTCTACGATGGTATTCATTTCATTTCTCTCTTTGTTTCTTTGTTTTGTTATAAAGTTTGGATTTTTCGACTATTGGAATTGAAATGTCCTGAGATTTATGCAACTTTTATGTAATTTCAGGATACACATTGCCAAAGCTGTATGCAAAGACGCAATACTGTGTCTCATGTGCTATCCACTCTCATGTCGTTAGAGTTCGTTCCCGCACCAACCGTAGGGTTCGTACTCCTCCTCCCCGTTTTGTCAGACGCAAGGTAATCCCTCTCTCTTTCTCAACTCAATGATCCTTTATTGATTTAATCCCTATTTCTCAATCTTTAGACGAGCTTGTTTGCTTCATTTGTGTTTAGATATGAAAGATGCAACTTGTTTCTGAATACTAGTATCTCTCTTAAATACGTAAGGTTAGTTTGAAGTAAATCTGGTTACTAAGACATGCACAAAAGTGTAGTTTGAATTTTGCATAACCAAGTTTTGTAGATATGCGGTTAGATCATCTTAAGATTCTTGTTGCCATATGATTTATATACTAGTTGTTTCAAAATAACTTTCAAAATAGATGCTACTATTTCCTTCACTTAATCCTTAACAATACTGCTGTCGATGAGACTATTCTGTTCTATCTTTTTTTGTTTGTTTGAATGATTTGCTCTTCTGAGATTTTACTGAATGGTTTTCCACATTATAATCTCATCAGGATGATGCTCCCAAGCCTGGACAACCAGGACAGGCCCCTCGTCCAGCTGGACCTGGAGCTCCAGCTGCACCCCGTGTCTGAAGCCTGCAAGCAGCTTAAATTATAGTTCCATTTTTCAAAACTTTTGTTTTTCTTATGTTGCCTTCAGATTATATTGCCATGTGAATTTTCAAATGCTTTTTTAAATAATTGTCTCGACTTTGTTATTATCATATATAAGACTTCAGTTTTACAATCTACTTAAGTTTTGAGGTTGCGACTCCACCCCATTCAGATTTAAGAGTTTTGACTTATGGGTGAGAGGAAACTGAGATGGGACAGAAATGGAGTGAGCCTCATGCGTATCAGTTTCATTTTCGTTCTTACCAGATTAACCCTTGAGGTTTTGGTATCAGTTCCTCACGTCTTCCATTCAATTTATCCCTGGCAATCTTCCTTATGATGGAAGGAACCCTTAAGAAAGAAAGAAACAATGGAAATTTTTCAGCAGCAAAAGGATGGTCTAAGAGTTCATCCACGGTTGCCCTATCCGAAGGGTTCCACGCCAAGCACCGCCTCACAAAATCTGTGGCCTCCGGGGAGATATCTTCGTACAGCCTCCACGTGTTAGGACCTCTCACCTCCACAGGAATACCCCCAAACATCTTTAGAACCATACGCCCTAGAGACCATATGTCACGGGCTGGTCTGATCAGTTTTTCCGTCCCAACAAACCTGTCCGGCTCAATGGCCTCAGGCAGCATGTACTCCTCAAGGGTTCCGGGAAACAACAGGCTAGAGTCCATAGTCGGTTCTTTGGATAAACGGAAACCAGCAAGCTTGAGATCCCATGGTTCACCAGAAGTGTTGGAAGGGAATACAAGTACATTGGTCGGATTGAGGTCGCAGTGGACGTAACCTTCAGAGTGAAGAGCCTTGAGTCCTTGTAGGATTATACGAGTGGCACGTCTGACACAATCTTCAGGCAATCTCCCTCCGGCATCATAGATCATTTTGTCGAGATTACCTAAGGAAGCATACTCCATGTAGATGTAACATAAACTCATGCCTTTGGTGTCGGTCACAAAGTGAAGTTGATCACTTGAAGCTTGGACGATGAAGGGATTGTTGTGGAAACGAAGCATGATCCTGAGTTCCTTCTCGATATTCTTGGACTGTTTGAGAATACTTGTCTTTTTGACGTATGATTTCTCCAAGTTCGAATCCTTCTGGAGAGACACAAAGCCGTAGGCACATTTGCCAAGAACACAGACAGTCTCCATTGAAGACTCCTTTAGATCTCCCATAATCTGCTCCATAATGACACTAGGTTGCCAAGAACACAGACAAGTCTCCAATGAAGAGTTCTTCTGGTTAGCAAAATTTAATCACTATTTTTTTTTGTTAGACCTCTAGTTTTTAGATTGGAGTTAAAACTTTTACTATATAATACAAAACATATAAATATATAATGTAAAATTTAGTATGTATTTATTATTTTATAATATTTTGGTAATTTACTTTGTGGTGCTTAATGATATAAATTACTTATTTATTAAAATGCAAAAAATTAACATATCTAATGAAGATGAAGTTAATATATTTTTAGAACTCTCCCTTTTATAGATTTTTTTGGGTTGCTTTTGAATATTCTTATTATATAAAGCATACAAATGTGAAATGTGATATATATATCATAATGATATTATCATTATATTTTTTGTTAAAATATTAATAAATTACTGTGCAATTAATGATTAATGATGGGATAGATAAATGTTGTTCAATCTATATATATTTTAGTTATTGAAAGTGTAAACTAAACAAAAAAATTAATGATTTATGCCTATCATTATGAAGGTAGAGTTTATTTCTGAAGCTTCTACAGCAACATAATCGTAAATACTAGTGCAGGAATAACAACTAAAAGCTTTGAGGGATACATGGAGGCTTATTCTACTTCACTGGTCGGAATTTTCGAGCTGAGACGAGAGAAAGCCAAAAACTTGCCTAAGGTTTCCCCTAGATGGTCGAGCATTCACGGCGTATTTGCATATAAATATTAGCACCCGTCGCATTTCCATTTTTGTTATACTCTTCTCTTCAAAACTTTTTCCACCATCAAAGGCCCCTGCAAATGATTCAAATGTCTCAGCATTATGATGGTACATTTCATACATTGTTGAACCAAAAACCGGATAATTTACAAGATGAAGTACCTTCTTGGTTGAATAATGACATCAAGATGGCCAAACAAACACATACACTGATATCTTCCCCTGTCAATCATAATTACAGTATGGATTAGACTTCCATAAAAGATACAAGCCACAAATTATGCTTGAATGCAGATATAAACTTACCATCTTGACAACAAACTAAGAGCTTCTTCCCTGAACTCATCTTGAGCTTAGCAAAATTAACTGCGGAACCAAGCTCTCTTGATATGGAAAATCTATCATATTTTGAACCCTGGAGAACATACAATTCTAATGAATATTTGATCGAGGAAACAACTGTGTATCATGCAAGAGTTTGGCATACCTTCATGGGTAGATGCAAATGCTCTTCAAGGTAGGATAGAGGGACAGAGATGGGATTTTGATCACAATTTAATATACAGTCAATAGATGTGACCTTACCAGCTGCAACACAAAAGGATACGAAGATTTGATGAGAAGCTGAAAGCTTATTTAATGCAAAGGAAGAGACAATATTTGTAGTAAGAAACTAAGCTCACCTACTAGTGAGGCCCCAACAGCAAGATTCGTTGATGCCAACCAAGATACTAAGTTGTCTTCATCAACTATCATCATCCCAATTTTAGGTTTTGATGTACTAAGAGACATAATTTCATCACTCTTAGCGTGATTGACTTTACCATTAGATTTTGAGCACTTAACAACGACCTGTGGAGCTTCCTGACCTCTCTGCGCTCGATACACTCTATCGTTTTCAACAATCTCTGCCACTTTCTGGTTACACAAATCAGGCCCCCAGTGAATCAGATCGTCAACATGTGTCCAGAAAACATTTGGAGATAAACCTCTAGCCCAACTCTCTTCATCATCACCAGCTCCTGGAATATAATTCCAACTAAACTCTGAATTGGTTCTGTGTTGGAGTTCACCAGAAACAGACGCTGAGACAAGGATGAGAGGGGTGAAATCCCATGAATCAGGCTCAGGTACTGCATTCAACCATATAACTGTTTTCTGTGAAACCCAAAGAGGCCTTAAAGGCTTTCTCAAACATGAAGCTAGAGAAGCTATATCAGCTCCACTCTCATCTAATTCTCTAGTCCACTCATCCAATCGAGCTTCAATAGAGGCCCTCTCTGTATTTGAAACCCAAAGTGGTAGATGTAACGAACAATCCCATTTATCTAACACCTGCCTTATCTTATCACCATCAAGATCATCATCACTAGGCAATCCCTATTCCAAAAACAATGAACACAGTATTGTAAATACTAAGAAGGAGAAGTTATAACCTCGACTAATGCAGACAAAATGAACAATTGTAACTCACTGCATCAGTGTTACATAATCTCTTCAAATGATTAAAAATTGAACGATTCAAGACACATGACCATATAGGAATCGTTTTCGACATACTATCCGGAAATCGCTTTCCTTTCCGAGTGGAATCAATAATGATACATCCTCCTTTTTCTCCTATCCATTGGAAAAAGTTTATCCTTTTCAATTGGCAATCACACAACACAAGTACACAACAATGCACAATGCATAAAGATAAATGCTTTTTATACAGAACAAAGCTACTTCTCAAAGAAACATGATCTAAGAGAAGTTTTTGAAACAGAGAAGATGAAATTGATGATACCAGCGAGAAGAGGAAGATGGAGATTGAGGCGAGAAGTGTTGAAAGATAGATTATTGGTATGACCATCGGTGGATTTGAAGTAGCAGGTGGCGTCGAATCTGGGAGAGTACCAGAGGCCACAACGAAGGTTCGCAAGAAGAGGGAGCATAGGCCATAACTGAGAGATCTCGTGGACGAAGAGGGAGTCTTGGTAGATAGATCGAAGAGCGTTGTAGAGACTGTTGTCTCGTCGCTTTATACTCCTGGCAGCTCTGTAAATACTATCTCTTGTCGTCGTCCTCTGCTCTTCCGAGCTTGCTGCCATTATTTACCTTTGGAGAATAAAATTACAAATAAATATTTGGGATATTAGAGAGAATAGTTTGTAAGAACAGGAGAATAAGAAAGAGCAGAGCAAGATCGGCGCAGCAAGACGATGGGAACAGAGGGGAGCGAATAAGAATTAAGAAACGATAAGGTTTATTATTGTCATTCTGGTTATTCAGAGACGATTTCGACAAATACGAAAGATTTAGGGGAACTTTTGAAAATATAATTAAATTAACAACACTAGTAAATATATAGTGGGTCATCAATATGTGTTTAACCATATAATAATGAAATTTGATATAGGTTAACTTGGGCGTGTATATAATCTCATAATTGGAAAAAGGAAAACATGTCCTAGTTCCCCTATAAATAATGGAAAATCGAACCCACCACACCGATGACCGACCTATAGAGACTTTATATATAAATAGTAGTGATAATAATCTATCACATATATTTAAATTAGTTAATCTGATCAGAAAACACACATACAAAACCCTAAAGAGTATCGAATACGTAAACTGATGATGGAGCAACTTTGCAGAGATGATGATTGTATTGTGGACGAGTCTTCATCGAAGACCGTCTCTTCTCTTGGTCACGGTAGGTTCGGTAGCGTCACTCTGGAGAAGGACTCAGAATCCAGACTTTGCGCAAAGAAGTCATCGCCGATGCACCTCAAAAATATTCTCGAGAAGGAGCTTAGGATTATGCATCGTTTCCGAGATCATCCTCGCATCGTCGATGCCTCAAACACTCTTCACTTACGAACCAAACCCTACGAATGCTACATGATCTATATGGAGTACGCCTCCCAAGGTAATCTCCATAAGCTTATACACGGTTTTCGCAGGCAGTCACGGAAGATACCAGAGACCCTGGTCCAACGTGCGGCTCGTATGATCCTAGAAGGACTCGTTGCTCTTCACTCCCATGGTTACGTTCACTGCAACCTCAAGCCATCCAACGTTCTCGTCTTCCCTTCCACAACTCCTGGAGAGCTGTGGGATCTCAAGCTTGCTGATTTCGGTTCATCCATGGAACCTGATTCCGAATATGATTTCGTGTCCATTGGTACGGCTAAGTATCTGCCACCAGAGTCTTTTGCGCCAAACGGACTGGTCATCGAGCCGGGACTTGATATATATGCTCTGGGGTGTGTGGTTTATGAGATGTTAGGAGCAATACCTATCCAGGAGATATTTGATGAATTCTACGAGTGGAAGTTGCGTGGTCGAGATATCTCTCCGGAGGCTAGAGATTTCTTGAGTCAGTGCCAAGACATGCATCCACGCAGGCCCACTGCTGCTGAGCTCTTGAACCATTCGTTCATTACAGGAAGCTTTCCATCGCCAACCGCAGAAGACGAAAAGGGGTCCTTGATTCCAAGTGTCTCGAAGCTTATCTCGACCTGATTCCTATTGTGTGATATGTCAAATCTCTTTCTCTCTCTTTGTTCTTTCAATTCAAACAAACTAGTCGTGAGAGATGTGAGATGACTGCGATCTAGAGGCTAGAGCAAAGATGATTTCAATTTATCTAATAAACGAACTACTTAAATTTGGTGGAGAGGTTTGGTTGGTTTCTTTACTTGCATTGGATGACAAGTACTCTTAAGTCAAATAGGTTTATCAGTGTGCATGTGCCAGATCAGTTAAAGCACTCCTCCATGTTTACATGAGTTTAAATGTATAATAAGTCCTCCTGCATATATTAATATATTGCCATATTTAGTGTATACAAAATTCATGTCTATGACTCTATTCTTATGTTGCTCTATCCATTTTACTATCCATATCTTCTTCTATTTTGATAAGGTTACTGTGAGTTTTGTAGGAAAAAAAAATTAGTACAGTTGACATGACTATGTTTGATTGAATAGTTGAATCGAACCAACTTAACCGATCTTGAACCAAACCAACTTTTGCTTGGAGCCTTGGACTGCCTAAGCCCAGTATATGTTAAAAGCCCATAATAATGTAAGGCCCAATAAGTAATAGTAAATATGAGGTCCTCAAATCTGAAGTTTGACGAGGAGTTCCATGAGAAGAGAGTAACCCTAGTAGCCGGCAGCAGCAGACGCACACACAGAACAGAGAGGAAAAGCCAAAGATGGTACTCATCGTCTTCTCGATCTCTCTTTGTTTTCCTCATCTTTGATTTACAGCAAAGATCGTGAATTGATGTGAGCTTCTTCATTGTTGTGCTGTGTTGCAGACTTTCAAGCGCAGGAACGGTGGAAGGAACAAGCACAACAGAGGTCACGTCAACCCAATCAGATGCTCCAACTGTGGCAAATGTTGCCCCAAGGTACTCTCTTCCTCCACCTCTGCTTCTCAATCATCTCCAGTTATTTATATAAGCAAAGTTTGATTTTGATCTTGTGGGTTTGGATAGGACAAGGCCATTAAGAGGTTCATCGTGAGGAACATTGTGGAACAGGCTGCTATCAGAGATGTTCAGGAAGCCAGTGTCTACGATGGTATTCATTTCATTTCTCTCTTTGTTTTTTGTTTTGTTATGAAGTTTGGATTTTTCGACTATTGGAATTGAAATGTCCTGAGATTTATGCAACTTTTATGTAATCGTAGGATACACATTGCCAAAGCTGTATGCAAAGACACAATACTGTGTCTCATGTGCTATCCACTCTCATGTCGTTAGAGTTCGTTCCCGCACCAACCGTAGGGTTCGTACTCCTCCTCCCCGTTTTGTCAGACGCAAGGTAATCCCTCTCTCTTTCTCAACTCAATGACCCTTGATCGATTTAAGACCCATTTCTCAATCTTTAAATCAGCTTGCTTGCTTCATTTGTGTTTAGATATGAAAGATGCAACTTGTTTCTGAATACTAGTATCTCACTTAAATACGTAAGATTAGTTTGAAGTAAATCTGGTTACTAAGACATGTACAAAAATGTAGTTTGAATTTTGCATAACCAAGTTTTGTAGATGTGCGGTTAGATCATCTTAAGATTCTTGTTGCCATGTGATTTATATACTAAGTTGTTTCAAAATAACTTTCATGAAGTTGAATTTTGAGGTCAATTAAGCTTGCTACTATTTCCTTCACTTAATCCTTAACGGTACTGCTGTCGGTGAGACTATTCTGTTCTATCTTTTTTTTTTTGTTGAAATGGTTTGCTCTTCTAAGATTTTACTGAATGATTTTCCACATTATGATCGTCAGGATGATGCTCCTAAGCCTGGACAGCCAGGACAGGCCCCTCGTCCAGCTGGACCTGGAGCTCCAGCTGCACCCCGTGTCTGAAGCCTGCAAGCAGCTTTCTCTCTTGTTTTTTATGTTCTAGCGACGTTTTTGAGGATGTTTCTCTCTGGTTCAAATTATATTACTATGTGGATCTTGAGTTCTGTCAAACTATTTCATTAGTTGATTCAACTTTGCTTTTGGCATCTTTATATCCAGTTCTGCAATCTGCTGTTTTAGTTTAACTAGATGCTTATGTATGTTTTAATAGAATGGTTCGTTTGCAATTCAGCGTCCTAAAAAACCTAGTGGATTCTTAACTTGACAATTGAGAATGTATACAGTGAACAATGTAGTAAATCTTCCTGCGACATTTGTGGTGGAAGCTTGTTGTTCAACTGTTAAGTTTCCTCTGCGTGATAAAAAAAAAGTCAGGGCTAAATGAAAGTCTCATTAGTTTTGAGGTTAAACCTACTTATAGGCCTTATAGCCTAGTTATGGGCCTATTCTATCGGATATGCGGCCCAGGCCTAACCCGCGAAATCTTCATATTGTTGACTAGAAAAAGAAAAAAATCCAAAATAAAACGTATTTCACAATTCACATATATACGTTACACATATTTTGGAAATGTTTCTAGGACATTTTCTGTTCCGAAAATGTTAGGTGATCCCCTACTTTTAAAAAAGGTAGCATAGCTTAATTTCACGACGATTTCAATATTTAAGGTATGCTATCTAGCCTTTTGTGTTTATAGGGAAAAAAAAATATAAAAGTTATTGGGAAATCTATAATGTTTTAAACATAGTGTCAATTAGCGCTTACCAATTTTTTTTAGAACTCTCAAGCAACTAACATAATGTCACTGGATTTGGGGTATTAAGTTTTTGATTTGGAGATTGAGGAGGAAAACCTAAATCTCAAACTTCTTTTTTTTTTATTTGATTCAGATTTTTTGGATTTTTGACTTTTGACTTTTTGCCGCGTAATTTTGAAAATCTATGTAACATTAAGTTGTCCATTTTAAATTTTAATATAATTGATAATAATGTTTTTTGGTAAAGTTAGTGTGTGTTTAAAAGTAAACTAACGGTTTTTTTAATTGACTAAAATCTAAAGATTATAAACTTCTATTTTCTTAACTTTATTGTCAGACGTTTTTTTTCTTCTTAATGTTAACTTTTGTTTACGCCGGTAATTTTAAAAATTAGTTAAGCTTTAATGATTATGTTTACTCGTAAGACTAGCGTGTGTCTAAAGTAAGCTAACGGTTTTTTAACAAACTAAAACATTAAAATTTCAAAACTTTTTTCTTCAAAAAGTCGTTGAACCGTTTTATTTAACGTTAACTTTTTACGCACGTAATTTTAAAATTCAATTTATCCACTTAAAATTTTTAATAATGTTTTTTTTCGCAGTAGAACTAGCGTATGTATAAAGTAAGCTAACGAAATTTTTTGAAAATGCTATTAAAAAATTTCAGTTTAAAATATTTGGAAAACAAAGACTGGTTTTTAAACAAAAAACAATGTTGGATCTCATAAACTTTTTCTAAAATACATTTGGCTTGAAGAAAAAGAAAAGTGATGTATCTTAGGCTAGAATACGTATAATCCAACACTAAATCTCATTTGCCCAATGGTCTAAACATCGTAGATATCAATTTTGTCGTTTCCTTTCTTTTAGCTTTTTTGTGTTTACTTTCTTATTTTTCTTTTGTCTTCTTACTTACAACTCCAGAGGAAGACGACGACAGCGAAGAAAAAAACGCCTTCTTTTCTTTTCTCTGGCTGTAATTTTGTGAGGGCGATTATTTATACATATGGTAAAGAAATAAAAATTGCAAATTTATTAGTTTTTCAGTCATTATATTAAATTCTGTATGACTGAAATGTGTAGGAACCTTCCATAAATTTTCATTGACTTCTATATTTCCCGGTGATCGTTTCATTTTCATTCTCTTCTCTCCCTCTCCTCTCCTCTCCTCTCCTCTCCTTCTCTTGTTTATACGCTTAAGCTGCGTTTTTCTCCGCCGGTGTTCCAGTGAGTCTTTTTTTTCTCTTCTTTTCTTTCCTCTTCAGCTCTTTTACTATTGATCTAACACTGTCAAGCTAATCACCATTGGTTCGATTAGGATTTGGTGAAATGGTTTTTGCTTAAATCCCTTTTCTCGATTCTCTGTTTTCATTTTGGCCTTTATTCTTTTGCTTTCTTGTGAGTTTTGATGAGTTGCTGCGTTTGATGATTTAAAGGCCAAAGCTTTTTCTCTTCACGCGTCAAAATTTCACTTTTTTTGGGTCTGTGATACAAATGCTAGTAATTACATTCATATAACCCTAACATCGTTCACAAGTGTTGATCTTCGGCTCAGTTTTTTGTTTTCATCATTTGAGGTTGTAGATTTTTGGGTTTCTATTTTACAGGATGAGTTGAAGCCACTTGGGTGCTCGCGGATTTGCTCAAAGGAACCTTCTTGACACTTGGACTAAAAGCACAGGTACTTTTCCGATAGATACAACTCAAATATATTTTCTACATTTTACGAGGTTGACAAGGTTTTTTTGTTTCTTCTTTTTGAGTTTAGAAAAATATATATATATATATATATATATATACCGAAAGCTTTAGTTTTGGTGTTGCAATCATTGTTGGGCAAAAGCGAGAGGATCAGAATCTTTTAGTCAAATTCTTTTTGGGTATTTTAAAGTTTCAGTTTTTATTCTTTGGTTGGGTTTAGCTTTGACGAAGCTAAGGCAGTAGGGATACCTAACCTGGCATTTACTAATCCATTTATCATTGACATGCTCTGTTTTCATTTTCTTTTCTTGCTTAGAATGTAATTTATTCTCTGGATTCTCTTGAATTGTTTTGAAGCTATCATTGGTGAAATTGAGAAATCTAATACAAGATTTTGTTCTTTCACTCATCATCTCTGGTGATTTAATTTGTATGGCCTATCAATTTCTACTTTCTCATATTGTATGGCCTATTAATTTCCATTTTCTCTTCATTCCTTTGGTTGGAGTTGTTGTTGTCCTTGAGGAGTGTATTGATTTCATGTTATATTAAAGCCATGTTTTTTCTCTCTGTTTTGTGGTTTGTACTTTGTAGATGTTTGGATATGTCATTCTCATACAAGTAAACTCGTTGGGGTGATTATCAATCTGAAGTTAGTTTGGAGTTTTTTTTGTTCAAATGGCTGATATTCAAGAGAGGTTCTCAGTCTCTTCGTCTTCATCCTCGTCATCAGCGTCTCTACCGCGATCAACAGTGCCTATAGATGAAGAAGTGTGGATGATTGCTGAGGAAAGGGTTCAGGAGATATTATGTGTCATACAACCAATCTATCTTTCAGACAGAAGTAGGAATGAGATCATCGATTATTTCCAGACTCTTATCAAGGATCGTTTTGGAATTGAGGTTAGCACTTTTATGTCCTCGTGGAAATTTTATTTGATGAGCTTACCATCAGTCTCCACTTCTTATGAATATTGTATCAGATGATGTCTAGTTGCGATGTTACATAAGAAGATGTGACCCGTATGAATTCGTTAGAACGCTTAAAGTTCTATTGCTATATGATTAGCTTGAGAGTCAGGACTATTAATTTTCTTGCATATGATCTGTCTGTTCCTTTTTTAACTCAATCAAAATGTAGTTTTAATGCTGTATTGTATTTACCAGGTCTTTTTATTTGGTTCCGTGCCGCTAAAAACCTATCTCCCAGATGGAGATATTGATCTGACAGTCCTAACTCCTCATGATAAGGAGGAGGACTTTGCCAAAGCATTGTGTAGTATGCTTAGAACTGAAGGGGGAGATTCCCGTTTCCAAGTAACTGGTGTTCAGTATATCCCAGCGCAGGTTTGCTTGGTTCCTTCTTTGTTTCAAATTATGCGTTTCAAGAATAAAAAATTTCATGCTTATGCTGAATTCCGCACAATTGACATTTTTTTTTTTATGGCAGGTCAAGGTCATCAAATGCAATATCAGGAACATTGCTGTGGATATCTCCTTTAATCAAATGGCGGGACTGTGCGCTTTATGTTTTCTGGAGCAGGTAAATACTTAATAGCTTCGGCTTATAAGCTATAATAGCTCATCCATCATCTATCCTTAACTGGTTTGGTAAATCTCTGATTTTTGTTGCTTTGTTAGGTTGACCAAACTCTTGGAAGAGACCATCTGTTCAAACGTAGCATCATTTTGGTTAAGGCCTGGTGCTATTATGAAAGCCGTCTTCTCGGTGCCAACACTGGATTGATCTCAACATATGCATTGGCAGTACTCGTCTTGTACATCATCAACATGTCATATTCATCATTGTCTGGCCCTTTAGCAGTAAGAATTTTAAATCTGAGCTTATTTGGGAAATGCTTCCAGTATTAACAGCTTAAACCTATAATTATCAGGTACTGTACAAGTTCTTGGATTACTATGCATCATTTGATTGGAAAAATTACTGTATCACGGTCACTGGTCCGGTCCCGATATCATCTCTTCCAGATTTTAAGGGTAATGACGCTGAGATTACAATTCTTTTCTGTTTTCCCCTAAATTTTGAAAAAAATAATCTTTTGTTGTTTCCTTCAGAAACCGGAGATCATGAAGTAGTCCTAAATGAGAAGTTCTTCAGAGAATGCGTGGAGTCATATTCGGTTCAAACTAAAGTTGTCGAAGCCAACACGCAATATTTTCCTGTAAAATCTTTCAACATAATGGATCCTCTGAAACGCAGTAACAACCTTGGACGTAGTGTGACATCAGGTACTTCATTGACCAGAGATTTCTATGCCACAAGACCAAAACAAAGCTCATGATTGGTCTCTCAAGTAATATTTTCTAACTATTGTGCAATTTTGTTAGGAAATATGCCACGTCTAAGACATGCTTTTTCTCTGGGAGTTCAAAAGCTTAGAAAAGTACTTACAGTACCTGGAGAATCCGTGGGTTGGGAACTGGAGAAGTTCTTTGCGAATTCACTGGATAGGAACGGTAAGGGACAGAGACAAGACGCAGAAGAACCTATTTACGCTTTTGGGACTGGAAGAGCAGAGTTGTCTGATCTCAGAGGAGATTTTGAAGGAAACTTCAGAAGTCTTGTATACGGGAAGTGGTTTCACGGTGAGACAACTCAGCATAGCTGGATCCCCCAGGGTCAAGAAACGAGTTCTTGGGACAATGTCCAATGGTATGTGACGGGGGAAAATAATGATTTATATTGGAGTAATGAAGATGGATCAAACTCGATGCAGAACATGCGGAAATCAAGAGGAACGGGCACTTACATTCCTGAAATGGTAAATTCACTGTTTACTCTTTAACTTGTGTTCCTATTTTTGGATACAATTTGTTTCTGGATTGTATGATCCATCGTTATTTGTTTTTTTTTTTTTTGCAGAGTCAACAATCCTACACTGATAGGTTCAGTAGCAACCCAGGCACAGTGAACTCAGCATATCAGACTCAACAATCTTACACTGACAGGTTCAATGGCACAGTGAACTCAGCATCTCAGACTCAACAATCTTACCTAGGCAGGTTCAGTGGCACAGTGAACTCAGCATCTCAGACTCAACAATCTTACACAGGCAGGTTGAGTGGCACAGTGAACTCAGCATCTCAGACTCAACAATCTTACACAGGCAGGTTCAATGGCACAGTGAACTCAGCATCTCAGACTCAACAATCTTACACAGGCAGGTTCAATGGCACAGTGAACTCAGCATCTCAGAATCAACAATCTTACACAGGCAGGTTCAATGGCACAGTGAACTCAGCATCTCAGAATCAACAATCTTACACAGGCAGGTTCAGTGGCACAGTGAACTCAGCATCTCAGACTCAACTGTACAAACAGAATCCTTGAATTGGTCCGTTTGCTAAAACCTTTTTCATCATAACTCCCTAGGCTTTTTGTCTCACATAGCTACCAACAGCAAACTATGGCAAAGAGTTTTTCTATTTTCTAATTTTTTTTTTAATGGTGGTAAATGGGAAAGTCCCAGACTTTGAAGCAGATGCTTCATTTTAGGATTCATTAGGATTTTAATTCTGTTGACCCGTAACTCATTCTGAGGTCTCTCTTAATTCGTTGAACAGAAAGATGATAAATCTGATTAGCTCTTTACAGATTCTTGATGATCATTTACATATCTAAATTTATATATGTAGGATTATTAATTACAATGCCATGACGCTGTCTTAGAAGCAACTTGAGTTTGATTACTGATAGAGAAGTTAGTTGTTGTTGCTATCACTTGTTAGTGGAGTTGAGAGGGCCCGACCTACCTGAGATCTTTTTATCCATATTGAGATATATCCTATGTGATTGTGATGACGATGTACTTCCAAAGCATTACGTCATCTCTCTCGTATCTCAAAATTATTAATCATCTTGCGTAACATCTCTCTTGTGTTATGTATAGAGCGATCCTCTAGGAAAAGATCTGCCGATAAGTTTAATAGTTACGTCAGTGATTAGGTTCATTAGAGATAGATCTTAGCAAGATCGAATATAAAGTTATAACGATAATTTTGGTTGTTGGCTTATTCAAGGCTTCAAGCTAAGTGGCATATAAACTAAATTTTTTTTCTGTGAGTCGGTGGTTCACATTTGCTAATTTTCTAACTTGCCTTTCTCTGATCCCAATGAGTAAACTTGCCATACGTGTCTATTTTTCGACAAATCAGTAACTTGTATAAATGCACTTGTAAGAGAGACATGATCATTTCAAGATAAGCAAACGTAATTATTCACTTCTTCTGTGCTAGAATAATGTTGTTGTATGTCGTTTATTATTATTAATATAAATACTTGTAATTAATTATATACTAGTACAAAACATAGTATGATAATGATAGTATAATATTTAAAATACACGTACGAGGTTCGAACCCTCACGCTTTTATTTAAAGATGGGACAATTTTATAAAAGAGTTTCCCGCTATTCGACCTACCTGACTATATAAGCTCAAATCAAATTATTCTTGCAAATCAGTTCCTCTTACGCTTTTTAAGTTCTTTTAAGAAACTTACCTCATAACTTGGTTTAGATTATAGTCTTCCATCTCGCTTCGGTTACAAATCCAAAATCAATTGCGTGAATCTATTGCAAGTGTTACAATGTCTGATAGATATTGTATCTTTTTAGTCCTCCAATCCTCTATTGTGCGAAAGCAAACATAAGAGGATGACTTAGGAGAAAATACTATATTTTACCAAAATTAGAATAGTAAGAAAGAAGAGAGAAATGAGAAAGAATCCAACGTCTCTAATTAATGTGTTCCCTAACTATAAACTTTTGTGGTCAATCCATCTTTTGAAAAGTTTTTTACTCTAGATTTTTATTTAGGTTACCAGATTGTTAAAATCTTATATATCAATTTTCCAACAACCATACGACTTGACAAAGAACAAAGCATGCAATGATGGATCATTACGATAACTACATATATAAAGATAACATAAATATATCGAAGAAAAGAAGAAAAAAAGTAAGAAGTTGCCATGTTATAAACCCATCATGACCATTGTTTGCCAATTTCAACAAAGTTGGCCCTCCAAATTTAATAATGCAATGCTTCTTTTCTTACATATAATTATTTATATATATGTATGATCTCTCTATTATCAACAACAACACTACATTCTCTTCTTGACCCTAAAGAGACGAGAAGAAGGAAGAAACAGTTATCTTATTTTTCACCTTTTAAATTTGATTGTATTCTTAAAGATAGTAGAATAAATGGAAGCAATGAAGATTAAGTTTCACGCTTTATTACTCTCGTTCTTACTTATCTCCGGAGTCCCTTCAATTCTTGGGTTAAGTATGAGGTTGAGAGGCACTACAAGATCGGAGCCGGAGGCATTTCACGGTGGAGATTTCGCGGAAGTGAAGATCAGGAAGTTGATGATGGTCACAAACTTGGAAGTTGATTATTCAAGTGACTATTATGATGGCGGATCATCATCATCGTCAGCAACATCATCACCATCACCACCAGTGCCTGATTATGATGATATCTATAGAAGGCAAGGTGATGTCCCAAGCCCTGCTATAGGCCACTGATCATACATGTCATGCGTATATTTACACACACATATTACACATTCTGTGTTTATATATTTTCATACATACATGTGTTGTTAATTACTATACCTTTTTTTTTTGTCCTAAATAAGAGGTGTCTCTACATACATATATATGTTGTTGCTTTTTCCTTGTTTCTGATATCTTTTATTTGTTCAGAAAAATAACTGGTGCTCTTATTTCCTATTGAATTGTCTCATTTCCTCGTGTTGAGATGGGATCTTTTCATATATGTAATAAAACTTCTTAGATAAAACTGCATTTGTCCGTTGTAAAAATGATCTGTGAATTAAAAAATTAGTAAGAGTATTTCTTCTTTTATAAACAAGAACAGTATTTTAACCACAATACTGTGATATAAAACAAGGTCCATAATCAAAGTTTATGATTATATTTTTTTTTAATATGTGGGATATTTAACTTATACCTGAGAATCTTGTGGCATAATCTCAAGTTTCCAAAAACATTAGTAAAGAAATATACTTATGATAAGGAAAAAAAACACAAAAACATTCGGTCAGGTGGTGGCAAAAGGAACATTCTGTCGGTTATACAGTCTTCGACCATTTACCCAAAGCAACTTGTAATTTAAAAATTCCTAGTAAATAAAAACGAAAACAATACGAGTTTTGCCTTAATTAGTGGCCGTTAACAAAGCCTTAAAAAAAGTATTTATCGTTCACATGGGACATCATGTTATGTTGTGTTATATATATGCTTTATATATATATTGTTCGGACTTAGTCCCTAGCTAATTTATTTTTCTAGATTCGGATAGCATGTAAATGTGAGTTAATGAGTAAACACACATCATCCCATCTTCAATCAAGAAATGCAATTATCTCCAAAGGAAACTTTACTTACCACCACTAATCTATCATGCATGATGCCTCACTTGGTTATATTTGCAAAGCTTGATTAGTAAAATAGATATCTCCTATACGAATGAACTTTGTTTCTCATAATTTGCCGCCGATTGCCAAGAACAATATTAGAAAAGAAAAGAAAAAACGTATGGGAAGACGAGATGTCCAATCCTAGACTATGTAATCTGTATGCGGTTAAAAGGAAAAAAGAACAATGGATTTGTATAAAAACTCAGGAAACAGTGTTCCAAGCAAAAATCTTGATGACCAAAAGAGTCTCGTATCAATCAAAGTCTTCGGTCTTCCACATATAGAAAAGAATGTAGAAAACAAAATAGTATCGTTCACATTTGATTGATACATAAACCAAGCTGAAAAAGACAGCATTCCCCAAATCACGTATAGAATCTTTACATAATTATAAAAATATCAATGTTAAGTGTGATTTGTCGTCATGCAACGCATGCATATAATATAGTAAAATACATTATTTGATTTGATAATATGTGCCTTTATACATGCATTGAATCAATCCACACCGACCAATCTCCGAATCATATAATTTATAAAGATTGTTGTGAAGAGGAAGCTGAATTGGTTTTTGGAATACGATTCCGATCCGGGATTTAGAATTGTTCGACTACAATAATGTCAAAGTGGGATATAGAAAGACTATTAAAACAAAATAGTATCACTTTCATCTCTGGAGTAGCAAGAAAAATAATAATGTATAAAGGTTGAAAATGAAGTTGCGCAAGAGAAAGAAACATGTAAAAGAGGAGTGAAAGAGAAAGAAGCATAAAAGAAGGAAATAGCAAAAAAAGAGCACCAATCAATCACTTCAAATTCCATTATTTGAATACCAATTTTTCTTATATTTATATATTTGTAAAAATTACGATATAAGAAAGTATTATAAAATAGTTGAAACTTTTATTTTTTATAACAAAAATATTAAAAATGTCATTAAACCATTCTTTTAATTTATAACTGTAAATACATATATTTATATTTTCATTGAATGATTGTATATCCTAATATTTCCATTTACTATTATTTATCATCTAGTTTTTTTTTTCTTTGTGTTTTTTTTTGGTAATTGGGGATAAAATCTAGTTATTCACCATATAATAGGGAAAAACATTATTACATACATGGGCAATCTACCAGCATTTAAAAAGTAATTACTAATTAGTAATATAAAATCTATATAATAAGGTAAACTGTTTAATATCTTTTTATTACTAGTGACTATTCATAGAATCAAATCGAGTTATTTACACCTTTAACAAAACAATTGCTCTTGTTGGTGCAGCTGTTAAAAGTTAAAACTAAAACAACTGAAAAAGAAACATTTTCGAATTTGCAACCATAAATAAAATAAAAAAAGGTTTCAAAGAGTGTGGAAGTTGGTGTGGCGATTGACCAGATTTTAAGGCTGAGCTTATATACTTCGGAGCTCCATCAATGGCGCAAATTCTGTTAGTAAGTAAAGAATTAAAACTTTTAAATTTTTTATTTTTCTTCTTTATTCTTTTAGATGTAACTGTCGGGAAGCACTCACGTGTTTCTGTCTCTTCACCTGTAAATATTCTCGCCACGTTTGCCGAGAAAACGCGAAGAAATGGTAAAGAACGGGGAAATATAAAAATATGTTTTTTTTTTGTTTTTTTGGTTTTAACATAGAGGAAGCATGTGGAGGCTAATGGGTTTCTTATCTTCTTCTTCATCTCTTCTTCTAAGCTTTCTTTTGTCTTCAATATCTTAAATATATTCAATGATAAGCAGATCATCTCTTTCGATTCACGTCACCACCACACCCAGAAATTTTAATTATTTCTCTAAGTGGGAAAAACACAGTTGGCGTTGTGTGACACTTAAATGTGCAAACATTTTTAATTAAAAAGAAGAAAAAGCTAATAATTGAGTATCTCCATTTATGGCTAAAAGCTTAACACTTTTCAAGTCAATTCATTTCTCTTGACATCTTTTACAATCCTGGCTGGTGCTGGTGCTGGTGCTGGTGGGTACTTCTTCTTCTTCTAGAGATTTCATTTTAGGGTTTTTTTTTTGATGTTTTCTCTGGGTTTATCTACAAGTTTAGGCATGTGCGTGAATGTGGCCTACCTTTGTTTTCTTCTCTCTTATTTGGAAACAAAGTTGAGTTGTCGTATTTATTGTTAACTTTGGAGGTTTCACTGTTTATTAGACGAGACCTTTCAATTGCTTCTGCCTAATTTACCCAATTCATAAATCTATCTTCTTTTTTCCAGGTTCTTCTTATTTCTAGCTTGTTAGGCTGTGAAGGTTTTTAGATTAAAGCCATGGATCTCAATCTCGGGAAATGCTGTGGTTCTCGTTCTTCTAAGGTTTGTCTCTTATTAGATTTGTTCAATTTCGGAGCTTTTCTGAGATTGGGATTTGATGTGTTTACATACAATTATGCAGAAGGAATCATGGAGGTCGGTTTTGCTTCTTGCTTATCAGAGTCTTGGTGTTGTCTATGGTGACTTGAGTATCTCTCCGCTTTATGTCTTTAAGAGCACTTTTGCTGAAGACATTCAACATTCTGAGACCAATGAAGAGATCTACGGTGTTATGTCTTTTGTTTTCTGGACTCTCACTTTGGTTCCTTTGCTTAAGTATGTCTTCATTGTCCTCCGGGCTGATGATAACGGAGAAGGTGAGGAGAGAAGAGACTCTCTCACTCCAGATTATCATCTGTTTGCTGCGTTTGCTTATGTCGTATTCTATTTTTCACAGGTGGAACTTTTGCTTTGTATTCACTGATCTGTCGTCATGTCAAAGTTAGCCTCCTTCCAAACCGACAAGTTTCTGATGAGGCACTATCCACTTATAAGCTTGAGCATCCACCGGAGAAGAACCATGATTCCTGTGTCAAAAGATATCTGGAGAAGCACAAGTGGTTACACACTGCTTTGCTGCTTCTGGTCCTTCTTGGAACTTGTATGGTTATTGGAGATGGACTTCTCACTCCAGCTATCTCCGGTATGTTTTCTTTTCTGTTTGTTGATGATATCTTAGTGTCTAACTGCTGGTTTAAAGAGGTTCTTATCTTTTCTTTTTGTTGTATGTAGTTTTCTCTGCTGTGTCAGGTCTTGAGCTGAATATGTCCAAAGAACATCACCAATGTAAGTACAACACAGAAGGCTGGTTTGATGTTAGTTGTTGCTGCGTGAGTTCCGATGAATGATGGCTTCCTTTTGTTGATCAAAACGTGCAGATGCAGTGATACCTATAACCTGCTTCATATTAGTCTGTCTGTTCTCGCTACAGCATTTTGGGACACATCGTGTTGGGTTTGTTTTCGCGCCTATTGTCCTGACTTGGTTGCTCTGTATAAGCGGTATTGGCCTGTACAATATAATTCAGTGGAATCCTCATATATACAAAGCTCTCTCTCCTACATACATGTTCATGTTCTTGAGGAAGACTAGAGTAAGTGGATGGATGTCTCTAGGCGGGATCTTGTTGTGCATAACTGGTGAGTTGCAGGATATTTATATTGTTAATGTCACGACAAAATTGTCAGTATTTTAACTCGTTAAATCTTTGTTTTAGGTGCTGAGGCCATGTTTGCTGATCTTGGTCACTTCAATTATGCAGCAATTCAGGCATGTTTAAACTTAGCTTGGATGCTTTACATACTGTTAGATATCTCCATGGGTTTTAATAATTCTTTGTTTTGTTATCTGTAGATTGCGTTTACCTTCCTGGTTTATCCGGCTCTTATATTGGCATACATGGGGCAAGCTGCTTACTTATCCCGGCATCACCATTCTGCTCATGCAATTGGGTTTTACGTCTCTGTGCCAGGTGAGTAGTTTTCTTTACTTCAAGAACTGAAATTATAGTTGGTGCGGACCATTGATACTATAATCTGATTGATTGCTTATTAGAATCCTTGGTTTTGAACAGAATGTTTGCACTGGCCTGTGCTTGCGGTAGCGATACTTGCTTCTGTTGTGGGAAGCCAAGCGATCATCAGCGGGACTTTTTCAATTATAAACCAAAGCCAGTCTCTTGGATGCTTTCCTCGAGTAAAAGTCATTCACACCTCGGATAAGATGCATGGTCAAATTTACATACCAGAGATTAACTGGATGCTCATGGTTCTCTGCATCGCTGTTACTATCGGGTTTAGAGATGTAAAACACCTGGGAAATGCATCAGGTACAAGATTCTTTTATCAGTGCATGAAATTTGGATTCTTTAACTTTGAGATTAAATTTTTATGCCTTTGTGGTTGGTTACAGGTCTGGCTGTAATGGCGGTAATGCTAGTGACGACATGTCTTACCTCATTGGTCATTGTTCTTTGCTGGCACAAGCCTCCAATTCTAGCCCTCACGTTTCTTCTCTTTTTTGGTTCGATTGAACTTCTCTACTTCT